CCCGAACCAGGTGCTTCCCACTCCCAGCTGAGGCTGAAGGAAATAAAGCTTTACTCACGGAAGTCTGGCTGTAATGGAGGTCGGCAGGGGAGCATTTTCGCAGGAAAGGTGAGCGTCCCGATGCCTCTGAAATCATACGCAGGGGCCAGCTGCCCCCTCCCCACTCTGAGCCGGGCAGGCAGCCCCTGGCCCTGGCACCCATGGCACTCCACACAGGAAGTGTCTCCAGACCACCCAACAAACCGGACCCCTCCAGCATGTTCCACGTGCTCCTCCTACATTCAGAAGCACTGTTCCCTCTGGCTGACCAGTTGGCCGAGAACAGACCAAGGGACCGAGCGCCCAAGAGGAAGAGAAGCAGCCTTGCTGTGGTCCCACCTGACGCCAGGATTAGTTCCCAGAGCAGCTCTGCGGGCTGCTGCCGGCCTAGGGCCTGCATCAGGGTCCAGCACCCCTGCAAGGAAAGGTCACCAAAAGAGGGGCCCCAGATGGAGCCACCAGGACCGGGTGACACAGCCCCAGCCTGTCCACCACGCTCAGACCCAGTGGCAAAGAGATCCCTGATCCCTGACCCCGGCCTGCACCCTGGTTCTGTACCCACAAGTGTCGGGGTTCCGTGAAGTTGAGCAAACAGGACATTGTTGACCCTGACAGCAGTTACACAAGTCAGTGCTCTGAACCAAGACAATATGTTTATTAGCTGAACCCCTTTTGACTAATAGCCTCTGGGGACATTTATAAATGCAATAAAAGGCCGCATCATTGTGTCGTGCAGAATGACGAGGCTCTGTCTGGATTCTGGCTGAAGCAAGTGCTCGGGCCGTGCAGTGCATCTGCCCGGATTCGGGAAAGGTGAGAGCTGGGACCCTGTCCCCTCGTGCACCCCTCCACCTCTACTTCCTACAACGTCGGCAGGAGCTGTCTGCCAACTTGGATCCAGTAAAGATAAATCTGAGCCCAAATTTCTAGTTCATAACCCGAGAAGAACTTGTGACAGAAAAAAGATGTCTGGTGGCCCCAGGCACCCCTTCAAGCCGTGCCCTTCAGCCGTCAGAGGGCCTTGGGAACAGCTTGCCCAGTGGGGCTTTCTTATCGAATCGCAGGAGATTAAAACCAGCCCATTTTTTAGTCACAGTTGATTCCACAGCATCAGCCCACATCTGGGCCAGCAGTGGCTGCTTGCAGAGTGATTCGCAAAGGGACCCACAGGGCCCTGCTGGGGACGCGTCCCCCACTCCCCTCTGGCCGCCCCGTCCCCCTGCTGTCTCAAATGTCTCGAGTCACTCTGTCAAGTTATATAGTGGACACGGGGCGTAAATTCTCCAAAAGGAGAAAAGAGAAAACAGGCACAGGGAGACCAAGGCAATCATGTTCCATCGCAAACACAACTCCCGTCCTCGTGCGGTAACTACAGGGCCTGTGTACAGCCTTGCTGGCCTCTGAGGACTGACCGTCCACAGACAAACGCACCCGTCCACAGACCAGCACCAGCGGCAGAGTCAGCAGGAAACATTCCTGCTGCCAAGCTTAAGCTTTTGCCTGCCGTACGTCACTAGTGGAGACATTAGGTATGAAGGAAACACCTCTGGTGACCGGCCGTGAGTCCGGGGGACCGGCAGAGAGCACGGTCCATACAGTGAAGACGTTCTGCTGCCCACAGGCCACGGGCAGCTTTCCCTCCTACGGGTCCCTTTTCCTTTGTCCAAGGATGTGAGTCATATATTCAAATGCATTGTTCAAGTGCGCTGGAATAAATCTGCTTTTGAATTCCTTCGACTCTGAGTATCCACGTTAGAAAGCAAATGCAGGACTTAACAAAGCCCACAACCCACATTTAGCATCAGGCTCCAGGGTGACGGGGCACAGCGGGGCATGAGGACGCTGCCCGCCCCTTCAGCCTGGCTCTCGGTCCAGACGCTGCTCCCAGGCCCGGCTCCCCGACGCCTGCCTGCACGTCCCCTCCTGGCCCTTGTGGAGAATGAAGCCGTGTTGCTGGCGCTGAGCACGCCCGTAGCAGAGGCAGGCTCTGGCCCTGAAGCAGAAGCCGCCTGACGGATGCACACACGGGGTCACGTAACCACACACAGCCGCCCGCCAGGCCCGGGGACAGAGCCGTTCAGAGACACCCCCTCCTCACACGTCCCACATGTGCTGTCTGCTGCCGCCCCAGCACACTGGAGAATCGGTGGACTCCTCCAGCAAAGCTCACGTTGTCCTCCTGGATGGAGGCCCAGGCGGTACCCAATCTGGGCTCGGTGGGGGCACCTCCCTGCTTGCGCCAGAAGGATAACAAGCCCGTGTCACTCCTTCCACTAAGAGAAATTCACTAAGACTCTGCACGTCCTCCCTGGGGAGGTGGACACTCCCGGGCAGCGGGGGTGGCCGGCCCATGGCGAACCCCGAACCCCGACAGCAATGGAGTCTCTGAGATGCAGGACAAGAGGCCGGTGCGAGTGTGTAGTTGCTCCTCCTTTGATACAAATAAAGGGGTGCTATTCACATCACAGTCATAATAATTCCATGTGTCAAGTACGACTTTTGCCCAATGGCACTAAAGTGTTTTGAGGAAAGTACTCTTTTCTAATGTGCTCAAAGTCACCATCTGAGCATGGCCCTGAGTGCATGGGGCAGACTCTGTAGGTGACTGAGTTTGGCTCCCTGTAGGGCATCCCAGTGTCTGAAGTGCGGGAAGGACAGGGGCTGGAGATGTGATGGGGCACCGTGCAAACGTGGACAGTGTCTACCACCGAGGACATGATGATGTCATCCAGGGCAGTGTGTAACAGGCTTCGGTGGAAATCAGTTGACAGAACTACACAAAACAGAAAATTAAGGTTATGTCCAAAATGGGGGTGAGCGGTGTGAGCAGAGGGGAGGGTGGGGATCCAGGATGCGAGACACACGGGGGTCTCGAGGGAAGGAGCCGCAAGAGGGGGGAGGAGGACAGAGCGAATCACAAAGCCTGGAAGAGCCACGCTTGTGGGGCGCAGGGGCCAGGGAGCCACCGGTAGCAGGGCTGTCACGGATGGTGGGGCTGATGGCTGCAGAGTGGCGCTGGGGGCCGTCAGCTCGGGCGCCAGGCCCAGACGTGGGCCGTCGTGGTGGGTCCTGGTCCAGCCCTTCCTCAGCCGGAAGGCCTGCCCCCAGGGCTCCCTGTGGACCCTCTTGGTAGAGTTGGAACGCTGGCCAGGGTCAGGGGTGGGCGCTCTTTGGGCCCTTTGAGGAAAGACTTCCTCGGTAAATGGCAGAAGGGACGGAGGGGGAGAGTGTTATTGACCCTGATCCTTAAGGTGACGTGGAATTAACCTACCCCTGGAAAGGGTCCTGCCTCTCCCGGGGCCCTGTCTCGTCTGCAGGGGAAGGGACAGTAAGAAATCACGGGAAGAACACAGAGCTTGGGGTCACGTGGTCCTGCAGGTCCCAATTCTGCATCGGGGGCTGTGTGATCTCAGTCAGCCGAGCCTCTGAACCTGCGTCCGTAGAGCGGGCATCACAGAACAGGTCCTGTAGGGCTCACGGGGCAGCGGGATGAAGTGAGAGCACACACTCGCATCTACGCGTGGAGCACGGAAACACGAGTGGTGATCGGTACTAATAGTAGTGATACACCTTAGTCCTTAATGATGGCATCATATCCTCATCGATCACCTTATAATTATTATACAAATTACACAGTTTACCACAAGGCAGACACTTGGTGGAGGTGGGGGAAGAGTTCTTCTGTACCTTTCAGCTAAATTGCCTGGAACTTGATCTACAGGATTATATGATTTATGTTGCAAATCAGAGTTTGTAGGTCTTTGCCAACAGGCATGTCACGTCACTCATGCCAAGAAATAGAAATCACTGATGCTACTAACTGTGCAATTAACTTATCTGGTCTTTAAAGAAAAAATATCCCACCTACTTATGAGCTATGGGAGGGGTACTGAAAACCTTGGCCAGAATGTGACCTCTAGAACTTTCCATAAGGAGTTTCATCTGTTCAACCAGGAAAACTCACTGTGGAGATACTGTTAAAACGAGAGTAACAAATGAATTGTATACTCCTTCTCTCTTTCTTGAGCAGAGCTGAACAAACAAAAGGTAAACAGAATTCATCTGCTCAGCTCTTCTTTCAGCCCAGTGGTTGTGTTTGTTGTTCATGCTGTTTCAGTGAAAATGGGGCCTCTTAGCTCTGTGGCTTATGCACGTAAGTGATTCTGTCATTTTAAATTGGTGTTTTTCTCTTCGCACCAGAAGCCTGTTTTCCATTCTTCTCTCAATCTTCCTGTTGCATTTACTCCTTGAGGCCTCCTTCAAAATACAGCCCAGGGTCCCCCCCAACTGGGAAAAGGGCCGAATCTTTGATCCAAGAAGGGAAGGAGGCAAGTTCCTGCCTGGATCCTCCAAAAGCCTGTCTGAATCCTTTTATTTCCAAAGGAGCAGAAAGCCCTGCCCTGGCAGCGCGTCAGTAGAGCCAATAGGCTGACGAACAAGAGTACAACAGAGCCTCCTCCAGCCGAATCCCTGTCTCACCGCACACGCCAACACACGGACCTGAAGTAGCAAAGACGCACGTGTGGAAGCAAACCCTTGGCAGTGCAAGAGGAAAGCAAGGAGAGGTTAAGTCTTCTCTACATAGGCAGGGCTCATGTGAGCCTAGTGGAAACCCTAAACGCTCTCCAGGAAAAGCAGATAAATTGTATTCCATAAATACTGTAAACTGTTATGTGCTTAAATAATAGGCAAACAGGGCATGTATTTGTGACCTAGTTGACAAATAAAGGCTAATGATAAATAAAAGCTTTTATAGATCAATTTTTAAAACTACTAAAAACCTAATGGAAATGAACAGTAGTAAAGACCAGCATGTTTCCATCCAATAAAGGCAAATACTCCATAAGCACTCTTCATAATACAAATGCAAATTTAAGAAAATAATGACTTGCCCTTTTTTGCCTATTGGCAAAGACTTATAAGTTTGCCCTTTCCGACGGTGAAGACCTCCCCACGAGAACATGCCTCTCGCAAAGGATCTCCTTCATCCCTCTCCCGAAGAGAAGAGGAAACACAAGAAGAAGCACCTGGTGCAGAGCCCCAATTCCTATTTCAGGGATGTGAAATGCCCAGGATGCTATAAAATCACCACCGTCTCTAGCCATGCACAAACAGTAGTTTTGTGTGTTGGCTGCTCTACCGTCCTCTGCCAGCCTACAGGAGGAAAAGCAAGGCTTACAGAACGGTGCTCCTCCAGACGGAAGCAGCACTAAAAGCCCCTGGAATCAAGATGAATCGGAAACCATCCCAATAAACACATTTTGGATTAAAAAAAAAAAGCCGTAAGTTTGATAGAATGTGAATTTGGTGAAGTTCTGAGGAAATTGGCTGTTCATACAACGTTAACAGGGCTGTAAATTGGCGCAAACTTTTTGCAGGGCAATTGGGCAACGCCCACTAAAATGTAAAATGCACATAACCTTTGACCCAGCAATTCCACTGCTAGGAATTTATCACAAGGGCACACTCTCTCGACTATGCACAAGTGCACGTGTAAGGGTGTGTAGGGCGGCACTGTTCGTCATCCCCCAAAACCGGGGAAAACTTTTATATACCATTTATGGATCAAGTTTCAATTAGCTGGGTTACAGCCTCACAGTGGGCCGCTCAGCAATTAGGACGTCAGTGTCATGGAAGGATGTGTGTTTTGCATTCTGACAGAGGCCCCATTCTCAGCACAGAGCTCTGCACGTGTCTCCACCCGCAAAAGTGCTGGTCCGGGAAACGTTCAGAAAGATTGTACCAAATGCCTACATTGCAGAGTCACCTCTGGGTAGCTGCTGGGGCCGCAGGGATGGGGTGTGCTGAAAGCATTTTCTCTTTCATCGTGCATGCTTTTATTCTGGTTGGAAGAACTGTTTTTTACCATATTGTTCATTGCTCTACAATTTAAAGAAGCCTATTTCACTAAAAGGGAATGAAAACCAAGGGGTGGGGGAAGGAAGAAGAGGGAGAGTGGCAGGTAAGCTGGGGCAGAAACTTTCTCATTCTCTGGAGTAGATGAGCCCTTTTCCTCTTTGGATGCAGACAGACACCAGCACAACTGAAGCTTTAGCAATTTTACCAAACTTCACAAGCACGATACCCTCTAACTTCTTCTATACGTGAAACAAGGAAGTGCCAGGCTGCTGGGTCTGCCCGCTTTCCCTGGTCCCTGCAAACCACGCTGGGATAAAGTCCTTACAATCCCGGAAGGCAGACGCGCCCTCCGCCCATGACACACAAGCTTGCGTTTTTCCTGATGTTCTGGACCGCCCAGCGACTGGCGCCATGGAGCACAAGGCAGGGAGCTCGCCTGGCTCTGCAGAGATGAGACAGACGAGGTCAGGAGGCTGGCTGGCTTTCTCAGGCCTGGGCCGTCCTGGAGGCAGGGGGAGGGCTTCCCGGTGGCGGCCTCTGCCACTAGTGCACTTGAGGTTTTTCCAAATACAGTAGATTTGTCTCTTCCCCTTTTAGATTCTGGTAGCTGATGGGAAGCTAGATTGATTCTTGTCACTTATTTCTCAAAGTTAAAATCACATTTGAGGTCTTTTTAGAAGATAATGGGTTGGTGCAGAGGATTATTTTTTAAGAACTCTGTAAAAATTGAGAGATTTTCAGAGGGCTTTAAAAATGACTTTTATGGAAAAGGAGGAGAGGTCAGCCCTGCCACGGGGTCAACCCTGCAGAAGGACAAACCCTGCAGGAAGAGCCACGGGCCCACCTCCTACAGCCCAGCCCCACACCGAACTCCACAGCCGTGCCCGGAGCTGGCAAAATACTCTCCTGCACTCGGAGGGTTCAACATTAACGAGCCTGTCAAGGAGCTGGGGCTGGGAGCCGGCCTGATGGGGAGCCAGCAAGCCTCGGCTGGAACCCTAATTGCTTCTTGCGCAACTGCAGGCCCGGCTCCCAGATCACAGGCTCCCCGGTCGGGCGCGAGGGCCCGGCTCTGCCAGGTTGCATAAGCCTTTGCATAGCAGCATCATTAGTCATGAAGACGCAGAACAAAGGGCCATTCTGACCAGGGAGGCACTGACGCTGCACGGATCCGCTCTCCGGAAAAGAGACAGTGCTGGCACCTTCTACCCGGAAGGGGGTCCCCAGGGTTCGGAGGAGGGTCAGAGTGTCTGCTGCCTGCGGACTCCGTGGGCATCTTCTGGTCCTGCCGACGGCTTCTTGCTGCTGTTGCCGCTGTTTCCTCTCCCACCAGGTCAAGACGCTCCGTCCCAGCCCCTTGGCCTCGCTCACCGACTGGGGTCACACCTTCTGTTGGGCCTCTGAGCCTCCCGCGTCCTGGCCTGGCCTGGCCTGGCCTGGCTCCTCCTGGCCTGCACGAGGCTGTCGCCCGGCCACATGGGTCTTCCTCCGTCAGAATTAGTATGTGTGAAATCAGGTTCTAAAGTGTTGCTGCACGGGTTGCTTCTAATAAAACCAATACACAGAAGCTTAGAGAACTGTCTTTAGAAATCATCTGGGCTACTCCCCTGACGTTACAGATGGAGAAACCGAGGCCAGAGGAGCCGAGGAGAGTTGACTGCACCACGGCTGGGCCCCGACGCAGGCCCTGCGTTGCCCCGATGTCAGGGTGCACGGCGATCTCACGTGCTCTCTGTCTCCCACGTGACGTCGGTGTCTGCCCGAAACCTCCCCACCACCACCCCCGCCTCCTGTCTGTTCACCTGGAGAGCCCAGCCCTGCGTGTGGCTGAGGAGATAGTCATGGCAACACTGCAGCCTGCAGGTTAGACTGAAGATAACACCTGGTCACCTGCACGGAGCCTCCTGACAGCACAAGGGCAGGGCCAAAATTTCCCGAGAAAAAACCTTGAATTTCCCATGATTTTTCCCAGAAAACTTGGTCTTTCCACCTGCGGTTTATAAGCGAGGCCCATGAGGATGGAGAGCGGCTGGAGTCGCCCTCTCCGCCCTCTGCCCACAACGGCTGCCGCTCCGTCAGGTGACGGGGGGGTGGGGGTGGGGACACCGTCCTTCACATTAAACTCACTTCCCTGAGGTGAGAGGTTGACCAGCTGGGCTCAGGGAAGACCCATGGATGCCAAGAATCCAGGTTTTCACACTCCTCAAATATCTTTAAGACCAGCGTAGAGAAACGCAGGCTGGATACTTAGTCACAGAGCATGTAAGTGGCTGTACCAGCACAAAGGTGCCGGTTCATGGATTAACGTCCACCTATAGGGAGGTCTCTAGTGACAGATCAAAGAATTCTTTTTCACCATATTGGCCAATGAACTGGATAGAAACATCTTCAGACCTCTGCTCAGATGTCACATTTGTGTGAGGTTTCCTCTGGCCACCCTGCCCGTCTCTCGTCCTTGTTTTATTTTCCTCCTGGGCACCTGCCATCAGCATACCATCCATGGAACTTATTTATCTTTGTTTAGTGTCTGTCCTCCCTACTGGAATGAAAGTCCAGGAGAACACAGATTCCTTTCTGTTTCGTTCACCACGGTGCACACCCCAGAGCTTAGCACAAGGCTTGCATAGCGTGGGGCACTCTAGAGACAGTCACTGGGTAGGTGGATGGGTGGACAGACGGACGGACAGATGGATGGAGATATCAAATGTGAAGATGAAATAACCCAGGAGAGCGAGGGTAAATGTTAGATGACAAAGTCAACAAGCACAATCATCTCGGCAGGTGAGAACGGCAGTCTAAAGCTAGCAAATGGAATTAGCAGGCTGTGGAAAGCAGTCCCACACTTAGACTTCAGGGAACAGTCGCACAAGCGCACGATGGGAAAGATAATGGGGCTGAATGGCAGCACGTGCAAAACTGACAGCATCTCGGAAGACGGCCGGCTTGACCTGAGTCAAAATGACACCAGACTGTCAGAAAGCCTAAGCCCTGGTGTCCCCACTCATTAGAATAATCATAGTTTTCAGTGGACAAGTGTCTCCATACGCTTTCCTTCATTTGAACTCACATCTTTTCATACAAACGTGAAATATTCATGTGACAAGGCTGTTCCTTGCAGTCTGGCTTTTGTCAGAACAAAGATGAGAAGGAATCTATAAAGAATGAATATGTGTATACGCGTAACTGAGTCACTTCGCTGTGCACCTGAAACTGACACAGCGTTGTAAATCAAACTATATGCCACTAAGATTAAGATTTTTTTTATTTAAAGGAACAAAGATGAGAAACCGCCTAAATGTCCACCAATAGGAACTGACATGCCATGGATACAAAACAGTCTTTTAATGAAGACTCTTTTTTTAAAAAAATAAATTTATTTATTTATTTTTGGCTGCGTTGGGTCTTTGTTGCTGCGCGCGGGCTTTCTCTAGTTGCGGCGAGCGGGGGCTGCTCTTCATTGCGGTGCGCAGGCTTCTCATTGTGGTGGCTTCTCTTGTTGCGGAGCACGGGCTCTAGGCACACAGGCTTCAGTAGTTGTAGCACGTGGGCTCAGTAGTTGTGGCTCCCGGTTCTAGAGCGCAGGCTCAGTAGTTGTGGTGCACGGGCTTAGTTGCTTCGCGGCATGTGGGATCTTCCCGGACCAGGGCTCAAACCCGTGTCCCCTGCATCGGCAGGCAGATTCTTAACCACTGCGCCACCAGGAAGCCCTTAATGAAAACTCTTAATGTACTTATCTGGAGCAGTATCACAGGCAGGTAGGTAAGTGGAGGAGATCTAAGAAAAAAGAAAATAAAAGTCAGTTTTTGTTTAGCTTCCAGTAAAGCCTTGGGACTCGGGCGATCTTTGACCATTCACTTGGGCATCTTCTGGGTGCTCATTAGAAATGCAGAGTAGCCGGCCCGATCCCAGACCCACTGCAACACAGTCTGCATTTTCATAAGATTCCCAAATGATTTCCATACACCTTAACTTTTGAGAAGTGCTGTTTTAGAGAAGGAATTTCACCCAGCTTCCTCACCTCATCCACACCCCGAGAAGGGCTGCCGCCTCTCCCGCCAGCCTCCCTTCTCCAGCCCTTGTCCCGGGGGCCAGGGAGCCCGTGCATCCCAGTGGCCTTGGGTCCCCCCTGAAAGGCACACCGGGACACACTCACGAGCTCTGGATTCTGCAGGATCCTCCCTGATGAGCTCCGAGGTGCCCAGGGCTGAGCTGACACCAGTGGCTGGTGACTTTGCCCGGCGACTCTGCTTCCCATGTCCCACTTCCCGCAGGGGCGTCCGTAGGTGGACGTGATTGGCTCTTGTTGGTCGCACTGCTCAGGTCAGGACACCGGCTGGTGGCATGGTCATTTCTA